TCATTCAACTCTGCGCTGAGGAGGCCTTCCGGCAGGGCTACACCATGTTTGGAATGCAATATTACGGAGAGTGTTGGTCTGGGAAAGATCCTGAGAAACATTATAACAATCACGGCAAGTCGAGGAATTGCATCAATGGCGTGGGAAAGGCATACACAAATTATGTTTATCGCATCAAAGGTAAATAGACTGGGGTATTTAATTATATCTGACAATAGGGCTCAGTTATGGCAAATTGGTCTACAAGGTAAAGGAGGACTCTGATTGGCTCGCTGAGGGGTCTGAATTTTGTAATACGGACCGCTTCGTTGTACCCGCTCAGCAGTAGTTTCCAAAAGCTGCTCTTCCAAAACACTGCATATATAAAGAGATTTATTTCCCTTTATGTCTGAGGGCTAATTTAGTTCAAATTTCAAAAAGGTGGCCTTAAAAATGCAAATATATGCTCAACTTCAGAGCGCGCGCTAACCGAGATGCCTTGGTTCAGGAGGAGAATTTTAAAAGAGCCAGTATGATAAATACTTTATTGAACTAGCTTGTTCGGTCTGTATTGTGGAATACTGGTGGTTATTTTTTCAAGTTTATGGTCAGAGCTGGAAGCGAGCTCCATAAAAAAAAATAAATAAGTAAATAACTCGACCAACATTTCCCCAATACGGACCTCGCGCAGTGCACTTCGTTAACCACAGTTCGAAGCTCGCAGTAATTAGCTAGTGTTGCCTGTGGTCAGTAAATGTATTTATCTGAGTCCAATTTGTAACATTTATTTTCCCAGTGAAGCCAGTCCAAATCAAAGCTCCGTCCTCGGTTTGTAATGTCGAAGGCCAGACATACGATGATGGTGACAGCATGGAGGTGTACAGAGGAGATCTGGCCAGCGGTGAATGTGAGCAGTGCACGTGCAAAGAGGGAAAACTAGACTGTCACCACATTTTCCATTGTGTTCTCAACGATTCAAGTTGTGACAGTTACGTCAAAAAGCCAGACCAATGCTGTCCAGAATGTCAACGAGGTATGGTGGCGGGGAGGGGAGGGAGGGGATTCTAATTTATTATCCATGATTTCATAGGAACATGTTATCATTAACTGTAGATCAATGTTTTTGGTGTAGTGTGCACATGTTAACCAGTGTTACTATAGTAGCCACTCAGTTGTGTTCAATTGAAAATCCGTGAATCTGATTGGTTCTCTTATCGTTTTCTATTTAACAAATAGTTTCTGCGTTGCCATGCGTCTGTTCAGTAACAAATTGCAGATGACGTCAAAATCTGTTCAGAACAAAACAGTGGCTCACGAACCATTACTGCGAGTGTGTCATTGATGTTCTTACAACATTTTTACGTTATCTACGATCACCGTCTTGGTTTGCTTAAGTTTCCTATTAATCAACTTGTCTTTTCAGTTGGTAAGGATAATAACTCATTAATTGGAATCTATTAACAACTGAGTCGTGCAATGCCATAATTATTTAACTCAGATGTCCCCATTGACGCGCCTAAATGTAAAGTGAAGGACAAAACTTACAATCAAGGTCAAAGTATGGAGATTCTACAGGACTATGGCGGTAAACAGCTTGCAGAATGCCACCAGTGCACGTGCATGGATGGAAAACTGGACAAATGTCACAGAATCTACTACTGCGAGCTAAACAAACCAGGATGTACAAACTTCATTAAATCTGCGGGCCAGTGCTGCCCAACGTGCGCCCGCGGTACGTGGCTGATAGAATAAGTTAGCTATAAAAATAATTTCGTTAAAATGTTTTTGTTTTAAACCATCAAAATAACGCTCTACTGCCCTTCGGTCGTAGAATACATTAGAAGTTACTCGCAGACCTAAGCGAAGTCAGCAAAAGAACGTATGAAAGTAGTAAAGCATTCTCACTTCAGCAAAATAGACACTCACTGCTTTGGCGGAATGAAGATATGAGAGGCAAAATTTAGCTTAGGCAAAGTCGAAGGACAGCGAGAAAGAGGCGAAAACGTTGCCGAGGGGAAGAGGAAGGGTGCAAATTTATAATTTGAATGCTTGAGCGTACTTGGCAAATTGAGGTCGGAAAAAACTTGATTAAACGTCTTAAATAGGCAAACGAAATCCCTGGTCACACAGAGCGTTAGAATGGGGGACGATTCCGCGTCGGCTAGTTGGTGGAACTTTTAGCAGTGAGACTAAGACCACAGTGAGAAGCACATCCAAAAAAATTTAAATCTTGGTGAAATGTAGTAAGAGGTAGTAGTTACAATGCAGTTTGGGTGCTTGCCTGATGACATTTGCAGACTGCGGACCGCAGAATCTTAGCCCGCAGTATCATTTTCCCATTTCCATAATGGAAAACAGATTGAACCGTCAACAGGCTAACCTGAGTGCTATTCAGGATAACCTGAACGACATTCAAGCTAACTTGAACGCTATTCAGGCTAACCTGAGCGATATTTAGACCAAAATGTAGTCTACGTACAGTCTGCAAATGCCATTCTCCGATGTTATTTCAGGCTCACATTCTTGCCAATTAGAAAAAGGTCTCATTATTTTTTCATAATATGATATCAAAATTTAAGTTATTATCTCTTTGACTCTTCAGCTATTATTTCTGCTCATTGCTTTGTAGTGTTACCCAAGCCCGCTCCTCCAAGTTGTAAGGTAGGAGGACGGAACTACAAGGACGGAGCCAGCATGGAAGTGTTGCACATGTCCTACGATCAAAAGAATGCCTCCTGCCAACAGTGTAGATGCAAAGAAGGCCAAGTGGACGGATGTCATCACATCTTCCACTGTACACTTGACGACCCAAGCTGTGCGCGTTATGAGAAGCGTTCCCATGAGCAGTGTTGCCCTGCCTGTGGTATGTCAACATAAATGCTTGAGGGAGCTCAGTCGTGGCATTTGAGTTATTTTTGCCGCCAGCAAAATTGCCTTTAAACTGAACGAAACCTGAAAATAATAGTTTACTAAGATAGAAAAACACCAAAGGGATAATAATAAACCATAAAGGAACAAGGTTGGTTAAGGATGGACATGATCAACACGGATTAATAACGAGGAACTTGAAAAATTTACTGCCAAACTTTTTAAGATTTACAAACTATGACGTAGCTCCTTTGAGAAAAATACAGATAGCTGTAGGTTCATACAGGTACTCTTCACCTGTGCTCGTCACGCATTCTTCTCCTTGAACATTTCGTGACGACCACAAAGAGCGCCTGAGTAGGAGGTTTCCTTTTCTGCAGCTGGTCTGGACAAGTGAAATATTCTGTAAANCTGTAGGTTCCTACAGGTAGTCTTCACCTGTGCTCGTCACGCATTCTTCTCCTTGAACATTTCGTGACGAGCACAAAGAGGCCTGAGTAGGAGGTTTCCTTTTCTGCAGCTGGTCTGGACATGTGAAATATTCTGTAAATTTACAGATGATTTTAACGAATACGGAACTGGGTATTGTTTTATGAATGAGGACATCAGAGATCACTTAGGGCCGGTTTTGAGCTCACTTCAAACAGCCTTTTATGATAAATGCCCGAGACATGCCTCGAAGGGGCTGCAACGAGCTCTCGGTTCAATTGAGAACACTTACTTTAAAATTGGATTCATTGACTAATTATATTTTCGATGAAGCACCCCAATATCTAGTGTAATGCTTGTATGCCTGGAGGAGTGAAATGGGATGTACAGTAGAACCTCGATTGAACAAACCTGTATATAACGAATTCCTTGGTATAACAAACGATATTCTTCGTCCCTATAAAAGTAACAAAACCTCCCAATAGCGGACATATTTTGCCAGTCCCTTGGCCCTTCGTTATATCGAGGTATAACACTGTATTGAAAGGTTAACTTCCTAAAATAATTGGATATCAGATTGTCATGTAAAAACAGTAGTATAATGAAATACAAATAATATTAAATGTAGAAATGACATCAACTCGCACGAAAATCCGAGTTCCAGATGGCATTTGAACCCACGACCCTCCGTGATTTAGCCGGATGCTCTAGAGTCTCCAGTAGCGAGTCGTGGGTTCATCCCATCTGGCTCGGATTTTTTTCCGGCTTGATGTCATTTCTTCATATAATGAAACAAAGATTGAAAGAGCATCACAATCAAACAAAACTTAATGTGCTATTTTTTAATATTGTTATTTTCTATATTTTCAGTTAAACTTGAGCCCAATCCGCAATCTCCCGGTTGTAAAATAAATGGCCTGCTATACAAAGATGGTGAAAGTGCCGAGGTCTTGCAGGAATCCGCTGATAAGGCCAGCATCATCTGCCAGCAGTGCAAGTGCGAAGCAGGGAAACACAGCTGCCATAAAATCTTTGACTGTGATATCCAGAAGGTAGCCTGCGAAAGATCCATCAAAATCCCTGGACAATGTTGCCCAGAGTGTGGTACGTAAGCGGAGTCCTTCCTAAGGCTGAGTTACACCTTATTAGAGTTATAAGAGGTCACGCAGTAGGGCTAAGAAGTAATATATCAAACACAAAAGATCGAGTTTGACCACATATCTAAACTCCAAGAGGAGAGTCGAAAATACGACGCACAGCGGAGTATTTTTGACAGACTTTGAGGTGTTTGGAAATGTGGCCAAACATTGTCTCGGGTGTTTGATACTGATTTTCTCAATTGAAACTAAAACTAGGGAGAAAACGGAGAAAAAAAATCGTAAAAATCTATGCTTGTGATTCCAACACCTTCACGGTCATGATTTCATTTGTTTGAACTCGATGAATTATTAATGAGTTTGGGAAGACCGCTTCAAGGTTCGGCTTCAGCTAGAAGCTACGCTGCGGTAATGAATGAGTTGCCAGTATTCGGATACCCGTGTTTGCGCAAAAAACTCTGGGATCGTCAGGGGGCAAACATTGCAAGTCGCTAGAAGGAAATGTATTGCGAAAAGTTGTTTCGACGCCCAAAAACACGGTTTTGGGAAGAGATCAACGCTTTTTCGCCGTTGTTTTATCGCGAATGGATTTTGGCAATGTGGATACATGGAAAAATGTAAGTTTTTGTTTGAATAACCGTGAAATAAGTGATAAAATTTACTGATAAACTCCCTTTTGCTTGCGTGAGGTTTATTGTGAAATACATTGAAGAGAATATTGAAAATTTCAACTGACACGCCTGATCTCCAGAGGCTACCCGGAGCAAATGGTAGAAAAGACCCTCCGAGAAGTTAAATATAAAGACAGAAAAGAAGCTGTAAAACAGAAATCGAAAATTGTAGAAGGAACTACTGCCCTTTGTGTCGGGCAATTTCACTCAACCGTCAATACCAAACTTTGGAAAGCATAATCACGCACAAATGGCACTTTTAAATACAA